CGACGTCGACGCAACCGGGTTGGCGCAGAATAGCTGCTCAGTGCTCGTCGAACGGCGCCGCGCTGCGACGGGACGATGCCGCCGCGCCCTGCGCCACCGATCGACCGATCTCAGGTACGCGAAAGAGGAGATTATCGTCCGGCGAAACGCGAAGGAACGGGTCCACCCCCGTTCTCGGCGCGAGTCCTCGAGAGCTCGCCGTGGTGAGCCGCGAGCTCTCGCGGAAGTTCTCTCGCGACCGTCGCGACGATTGCAGGTGCGATCCGCGAGGCTGAATACGAGAGTAATCAATTTCCAGATCGAACAAGTCTTCGGTCCGTTGGTTGCACCGATGCAGCACGATCGTCGTAGCGAATTCGCGAGAGAGTTACACCCTGATGATCGTACCGATGAACGCGAACATCTTCCACGATGCATGCTCTGTAAAAGTTCCAAAGTGTCTGACGTGGCTGCTGCCTCGACGAATTTCCTGTCGGAATCTTCGGGCTCTCTTGTGATTGATCGAAAGTCATTCATGTGTATAGACTACTATAGACGCGTATCGACTTCGAAGATATGTATTCCCATGAGTTCCCCGACGATTTCCGTCGCGAATTTCCATCCGATCTAGTCGAGAGATCGTCCGGGATAGGTAGGTAGGTGACCAGGGAAAATGGGCCCTCGCATCCCTTCGTAATTTACCCTATTATTTCCCCGGGGGATCCTGCGATCTCGCTACCGGCAATTTATACCCGCGGCTTCAGACGACATTATAAATTGGTGTACTTTACTCGTTCGCCAGCGATCGCAAGGAAGTTGCTCCCCTCGAGGATACGATGCTCGATGATCGGTTGCATCGAGGTGAATTGACTTTAGCTTTTTGTAATTTTCAAGCTTCTCTCTCAATAAGGCTTATAAAGCCTTTGATAAAACTAGGAGGATTGTGCAAGTATGCCCCTCAAAGTGTCTCGTACTGAGAAAATTTCGGATCGAGAAAGAATGAATCGGAAGATTTTCATCATATCAATCAGAATTCTGGTTATCTTAATTAAAATTATAGATCTAACAAAAAATTCTGATGTATCTCTATTTTTAATCAAAATTCCAATTAATTTAATACGGTCGGACTCTTTCCAGCGCAACAATTTTTGTTGTTTTCACACGAATACAATATGGTTTGTCATTTGCTAATGAAAGACAAATCTCTCTCGACGAATTCGATGCGTTGTGTGAATCAATTTTTTCCCGCGGGTCCATTCTTTTCCGCCGCGATTGTCGAAATGGTCGCTTAATTCGGCAAATGTTAGATGAGTATTTTGAGTATACACCCGGGACGTAGGAGCATTACGCGTCTCGTGAGAGCTTTTACAAGATGGTTATAGCACGAACATCGACGTTCCTTCTCTCGGCTAAGAAGTAGTTAAAACGTATCTTCAGTCAGACAGACACTGGTTCGTGTTACCCTTTTTCTAGCTTATTTTTTGCGTGATGCCATTCAAATATTTTTCAACGTTCTCTCTTGTGAGAATAATCGGACAAAAAAGCTATCGCTATCAGGAATAGCTTTTAACGCAAAACTTGTTACCATATTTGTCGTAAAAAAAACATGAATTTAGCCGTGCAAAAACATAACTTCAATTGCCATTTTTTTATTGAATTATTTAATATAACAAATGTTTATTAATAACTGAAATGTTTGAATTAAGTATTATTCTACAGCAAGCATTTTTTATAAAATTTTTGAATATTTATGTATTTATATTTGTTATATTACAATATATAGTATAAATTTTTTTTCGTATATATGTTTCATATAAATATTTTAATATAGTGTGTGTAAAGCAAAAGAGAAACGAAAAATGTTTTCGATTTTCAACGAAAATTACGTATTAAATTAAACCAAAAAATTATTTTAAATGTACAATCGATACGCAATTTATGTGTTTAATAACAAAATTGTCGCGAAAATTGTTTTTCAATATTCGACATCTTGTTTATACAGTTCCTTACTTTTTTATTATTTATTAGTATTGATTTTATTTTACATAAAGCCGATGTTTTATACATTTAGATTATTGATTACATTTTTAATAGATAATATCGTGTAAGTTAATGAATAAAGTAGAAAGAAATCCAATTTAATATTTGAATTTAATAATCACTTTTTCCTCTTTGCTAGAACTGTATCTGTTCTTTAATTTTACATGATAAATTTTTCTCCATCTTTTTACATTTGTATCCTTTTTCGCGAAATATTTATTGTCAGACAAGTAATCCATTTTTTACCGTCAAAATGTTATTTACGATTGTTTATAAATATTTGCGTGGGTGGTATACGTGTTTATGAATGTACGTTACATATATCAGCTATGTATCTTAATCCGTGCAAATTTATTTGCGCACGCGATATTTCGTCTTTGTATGCCGTAATTCGACGGCAGTTTTTAGGTCCATTACATTGACGAAGCGCGCTCCATTGCGACGGAGATGCTCGACGTGCGCTGGCACGTTAGTGAATTTTCGCCGCATAGGAAAGAGAGGCATAGGTTATTGATTATCGTGAATGGCTTTATAAATAACTGATCGTGTAGGAGCACCCGTCGGAGACGCGTAAATATCGCTCGGCGAGTCGTTCTTTAAAATTGCTACCGATACTACCCAGATGCCCTGCGATATGGAATCATAGATGTGCTCGATCGAGGAACATCCTGCATTATCGAATAGCAGAATTATGGAAGATTTTTTCCATGCTTTTTTTCGATATCGGGAAGATTACTGCAAAATAATGGGGAATAAGTGTCATACCAACCTTGTTTAAAATACGCAAATTAAATTGAATTGCGAAATTCATTTCTGCGAGATTGAATCTAATTTATAAAATCAGGAATTTTTTAATATTCGTATTCCAGTTAGCTTGCAAACGAAGTTTACCGATGTGTGATGAAATAATTTTGTAAAATATCTCATAAATTCTCGTTTCCGTTAAGCTTTATTAATAAACGGCCGCGTAATTTCAGCTAACTGTGTCCTGCATGTGGTGAAAATATTCCACTTGCTAAATTTTCCATCTATTTATTAATTCACGAATTCAGAAACGGAATTTATATGAGGCATTCAAAAATTCTACTTATACATTCAAAAAGAAAGCTCGTTTAGCTCGAGCCATAAAAGAAGGATTATAGAAAGATTTTTTAAAAAAGTTCTAATTTCTTACATGAATTAAATTAATGATACGTAAAATGTTTTGCATAAAACTATGAATTTTTTCACTATTTATGCCTACGAGAGGGTCGGAATATCGCGATCGATTAGGGGATGCTCTTTCAAATTGCTAAAGGTACTGATGCGCGATATATAGGACGGCAATAATAGATTGACCGGAAGCAAGTTGTCCATCGCACCCATGCGGGATCTCTGTATGGATAATAGTTCTAGTATGAGTACCGAGTGCATGTAGCCGTTGATAAATGAAAATTGTTGTGTATACGACACGATAATAGCTTGTTCGTTGTTAAATCTAATATGTCATTTCTTGAGATCAAAGTATTATCTACTTCATTCCTCTTTCGTTGATAGATATCGATACAATTGATCGTTTTCATTAATATCAGTTGACGTTTCGTTCAAAGATTTAAAAAATAGACGTGAGAAAATTCGTACACAATGCAGGAGATCAATAAATGCGCGACGCGCATCCAGTACGTGACTTTCGGCAAAACTTGAATTATAAAAGATTGATCTTATGGTTTCTGCAAAATTTATATTCCACGGGATCGTGAACGTATTCTCCTCGTATTCGTCGTAAAATGAAAATATCAAGGACTGCTTTCAGTAAAAAAAAAATTATTTTACATTGTTCACGATTTCTTCTTTACGAATTTGTTACTACCGGAATATATAGAAACGAGTTTAATTTTAATATCGCCGCGTGGACAATAATGAATAGGATCTTTTATGTCACATCTTAAATTGAAATGTTCCATGCGAAATGACATTTATATTAATGTATATATTTTGGTTTATAAATAAGACCACTCGATACATGTCATGATAATTTTTTTAATTCCGCAACGGATATCAATGGAGAAACACAATGTACATGTGATAACGCTGATTGAAAATATCGTGAAATACATATTTATTGAAAAGTGAAGCAATTAATGTAATTAAAATTAATTGGAAGCCAGATCCAAAGTTTTCTTACTTCGACTTCATTTGAATAATTTTGATATTAAAAAGAAAATTAAGTTTTTGTGAGGATAATTATATCGTAGAATATTGTGTCAAATAAGTCGAATTATAAAACCTCGATTAAAGTTAATGAGAAATATTGGATAATAAAATGCGTATAATTAGAAATTCTGCCGTGTGGCTTGTTGGTCGATCGCTGTTTTAATAATCATAGGTCAACGCACGCCTTTGCTTGTGCAAATGATTCGGTAATGTATTGGGTTTGGTTTCTCCGTAGTCAAGAATTACATTTTCCGATAAATATCAAAATATCGGCATAATTCGTTCACATATTGGTTCATTTTATCATTAATTTTTGCTTTAAATACATTTTTCAGCACAATAATTTGAATAGATCGCTGTTATCTAATCTACAATAAAAATTACTTTTTTTTTGTACTGAGAATCCTTTGGAAGTACTCTCATAATAAGAATTTTCGTCATATCGGGTGTCTGTCACTTGACTCTTTATGTGTGTCATATGAACCTTCAGCCCGTCTATTGTGGTAATGGACCTAAAATTGGTCTCTTTGACAGGACACTTTGCGGTGTTATGTCTCTGCTTCATCAGATTGACAAGGGATCCTAATTGTTCGTTAAATTTGTCCACATATTTCCGCCCACCTTCGAACGAACAGTTAACAATATTTCACTTATGACACGATAATGGACAAATATCTTTGTAGAAAATGGTCTCATGTTACACTCTTAGGTTAAATGGAAAAAAGAGAATAACGTTAAATCTCGGGTAACTTAATATAATCCTCTGGAGAATTGACGGTGGGTTTATTGGATTATATATCGTATAAATCTCAATTATAAATCTCTTTGTCAAGCAATTTAATTTTCTTTATTTTACATTTGCAGATTTGGATTATTCTTGTTAAAATATACATATTTGGTAT